CCCTCTCCCCCCATCAACCCTCAGTTTGTTTTGTGAGATTAAGAGTCACTTATGGTTTGTCTCCCTCCCAATCCCATCTTGTTTCATTTACTCTTCTCCTACCCCCTTAACCCACCATGTTGCATCTCCTCTCCCTCATATCAGGGAGATCATATGATAGTTGTCTTTCTCCGATTGACTTATTTCGCTAAGCATGATACCCTCTAGTTCCATCCACGTCGTCGCAAATGGCAAGATTTCATTTCTTTTGATGGCTGCATAGTATTCCATTGTGTATATATACCACATCTTCTTTATCCATTCGTCTGTTGATGGACATCTAGGTTCTTTCCATAGTTTGGCTATTGTAGACATTGCTGCGATAAACATTCGGGTGCACGTGCCCCTTCGGATCACTACGTTTGTATCTTTAGGGTAAATACCCAGCAGTGCAATTGCTGGGTCATAGGGTAGTTCTATTTTCAACATTTTGAGGAACCTCCATGCTGTTTTCCAGAGTGGTTGCACCAGCTTGCATTCCCACCAACAGTGTAGGAGGGTTCCCCCAAAAGGGGTTTTTAATCTGTGCTGCTTTTCAGCCCCAGTGTCATACTGCTTAAGGTCAAACCTAGTTTGTTTTTCCCCTGAACTGTTTCAGCAGTCCTCTTAACTGGGATTTGTGTTTCTGACCTCTGTCCTCTCCGTCATCTCCCATCAAGTTATCTTAAAAAAAAAAAAAAAAAAGTACTCTCCTGATTAACAACCTTTTGTTTGCTCTTGTGGTTCTGCAATTTTTTTTTTTTTTATACTCAACATTATGTTCTAGAAATTTTTCTATGTAGTTATTTAGATTTTTCTTTTAAATGCTGCATAGTATGAATACATTAGGTATGTATTATAAATTGTTCAACCATTCATTCTCGAATGGACATTTGTGGTATTTATATTTCACTGTTACAGAGAAGTCTGAAATGACTATCCTTGAACCTGTCTCTGTGCACACTGAAAAGCATGTAGATACCAAAAAGTGGAATATCTGGGTCAAAATGAATGTACATTGAAAACATCAATAGATACTAACAAATTACTTTATAAAAAGTGCCTATCAAATTATATTCCCACTTTCCATGTTTTTTTTTAAGACCATTTCTAATCTGGACCTAGTGTACTTCTGCCAGCCTCTGTTCTCCGACAGACGTGTTGACACGCATGCTGGGTCGCCGCCGGCCACCCTCCAAGTGTTCGTGGAGCACGTGCTGTGTGCTGGGGGCCTAGCACTGATGACACACGTAGCTCCCTGTCCTCACCGCTGCTCGCATTATGCAGAACTTTTTTGCTGTTCCTAGACTTTCCTTATGCATTTGCAGTTCCTCTTCTCTTCCCAGTTATGACTTTTTTCTTTTAACTTTTCTGCCAAGAGAATTTTCTTTGGTAGTTCTTTTACCCTTTTAATAATATCTTCCCTGTCTCCTGTTAGGTAGAGTTGGACAGGCCTTTTTTCTTAGTGGTCTCTTTTAGCACTTTAATACTTTAAAAAAATTATTTCTTTTATTTAGGGGAGAGAGAGAGAGAGAGAGAGAGAGAGCATGCTCCAGCGAGCATGGAGGGGAGGGGCAGGTAGAGGGAGAGGGAGAAACATGGTCTCCCCTGAGCAGGGAGCTGGATGTGGGGCTCGATCCCAGGACCCTGGGATCATGACCCGAGCCGAAGGCAGATGCTTAACTGACTGAGCCATCCAGGCACCCCCTTAAATACTTTTTATCCTGAAGAGTTTACATGTATATGTCTGCCAGTGTATGTTTTCATGTGTATGCCTGTGAGGGCGCACACACGCACACACACGCGTACACACACACCCCCCTTTCCCAGTAGACTGTAAGCTCAGTGAGGGCAAAAACTTGTGGTGTTTATCTTAAGGCTCCAGCACTGGGGATGCTTAGTAAACATGGAATAAGCCAGTGAGGAACAAACTGTCAGATGAACCAGTTTTGGGGCTTGGGGAGATGACACATATCTGATGGGCATTGAAGGACTCAGGCCTCAGGCACAGTGAGGAAGATAAAAACAGAGGAGTAGGCCAAGTGCAGGCCACCTGGAGCTAGGCTCTGTGGGGCGGCACCAGGGGAGACTTGAGGAGAGTTGAGCGGGAGAGATTCATTCTCGTGAGTGGGGTGGTCTGGTAGCTGATCAGGGCAGAGGACTTTTTTCTCGCTCGTGCTGGCTGTTGCAAGGGACGCACGTAGCGGTAAGCTTCTGTCTCTGCTCTCTTTAAGAGTGCGTTAGCCAAGCTGGATGTGAGAACAGAGATTGGCGGCATCTGCTGCCTCTTTCTGTACAGCCCATGAGCTAAGCATGATATTTTACATTGTGAAAATGGTTTTTATAAAAAGAATATTTTGTGATACGGGCAATTCTGTGGAATGCAGATTTGAGCATCTGTAATGAACTTGTTGGAACACGGCCATGGTCATTGGCTTCCCGTTGTCTGGGGTGCTGTCAGGGGCTGCTGCCACAGCAGCAGAGCCGAGTCCTTGTGACAGAGACCAGCCAGCCTGGGATGCCTGAGACCTTTCCTCTCTGGCCTTTTCAGAAACAATCTGCTGACCCCTGGGTTAGAGGATGAGAAAGATCCAAATAAAGCAGAGCAGGAGGGGAAGACGGGCTCGGGGGAGCTAGGAGAGTGGGACAATGGATACTGTAGTCTCAGTGAAGCTTCAAGACGGAGATGATGATCCCGCAGAACCTTCTGTTTTATAGACCAGGCAGAGGATCAAAAACCTTGTCAAATGGGGCGCCTGGGTGGCTCAGTGGGTTAAGGCCTCTGCCTTTGGCTCAGGTCATGATCCCAGCATCCTGGGATCGAGCCCCGCTTCGGGATCGCATCGGGCTCTCTGCTTGGCGGCAAGCCTGCTTCCCTTCCTCTCTCTGCCTGCCTCTCTGCCTACTTGTGATCTCTGTCAAATAAATAATAAATAAAATCTTTAAAAAAAAAAAAAAAAACCTTGTCAAAGTCCACCTGACTCGTGAGGGGCAGTGTACCCTGGAGCGCCTGGAGCAGAAGCCTGGAGGACTATGGAGGAAGATAAGATTATTGCTGGGGTGGGGCCAGATCCTGAATGGCCTTGCCCTTGAAAAATAAGAGCTGAGGAACAGAAGAAGAACAGACTTTCTCTTTCTGAATGTCATGTTTCTTTTTTTTTCTTCTTCTTGTATTTCTAGAAGGCTTTTGAGCCCTACTTTGAGATTTTGGAAGTCTATTGCACAAAGGCCAAGAATTATGTAAACGGACATTGCACCAAGTATGAGCCCTGGCAGCTCATTGCCTGGAGTGTCCTGTGCACCCTGCTCGTAGTCTGGGCCTACGATTTTGTCTTCCAGCCAGAGAGTAAGTACACTGCCCCCTCTCCTGGAAAGGTACAGTGGAGTCTCACCAGCCTTAGAACTCATGGCTGATGGATTGGACGAATTTCTTGCCTTTTGATTTGGTTCTGATTTTTTAAATCTATTTAAATGGGAAGTGGGACATTATCTTCTGACCATGAAGCTATAGTAGGACTCCATACGTAAAGTTATAATAGCTACTCTCATGTGTCTGTTACTGCTCTTGTTGATCCTTCTGGATTTGCAGCTTGCACAAAAACTCCTGAGAAAGTAGTTACTGTAAGGATCCGCAGGTATCTCAGAGCATGGCTTAAATTAACTTTCTCATTTTTAGTTTCTTACGTAGGACATAATTGCCTACCCTGGAGTTCCCCAAGCAGGAATTTGTTGCATTCATTTTAGGCCATCTTTTCAGTATAGATTATGGGAAAATGAAACAGCACTCCTGCAGTGACCCTACGAGTATGTGCTGTGTGCCAGGCACTGTGCTTGGCTCTGGGGATGTCTGCACAAGTCGTACAGGGTCCCTGTCCTCTTGGAGTTAAACACGGATGTCAGGGGACAGTGTACTTTGAACTTCCGGGCAACAGGGTAGTGCACTACTACTCAGGGAGCCAAACTGACATGGGGAAGAGGAGGCCACTTCTCAGGGAGTGCAGAGGAAGGTGAGAAGTCTATTAGTTATGGGTTTGTAAGTCCTCCATCCTTCCCAACCTGGTTGCCTGTTCCCTCCTTGTGAATCGTTTCCCCCTGCAGGTTGTGCTTAACAAGTAAAACAGGAGTGGCGCTGGGTGTTTTAGACCTCTCCTCTGCACCCCTTCCCCACCCTTAGTAGAGTGCACCTGATTTAACTTCCTTGGGATGAAAAACCAACACCACTGAAGAGAATTGCGTGTCATATCTCATTTGTTTAAAATGTCCATGACTGTTCGCTTCCCTAATAACATCTGTTTGAAGGGGCTCTTAAACTATACTTTTTCTGCTTTTCTTCTCTCCCCCAGGAAGGTTAACTTAGAAGCCAGTTTCTTTTTTACCTGTTTACCCTGCAGATAGCCACTGAGCCGTTCTAGTAACCGTTGCTGTTAAGGTGAAGTAAACATTGCGCTTAATGAAGGTAGAAATGAGACCTGCTTGCCCTGTCTACATTTTAGTCCATTCCAGCTATAAAAACCCTGTCCTCAGTTTCTGCTCCTAGTCCTTGCAAGGTTTCCTCATAAACTCCCATGACTAACCCTTCTGCCTCATCTGCTCCGTGGTTGGGAAATGGACACAACCTGTATCTTTCTGCTCGGGGAAGCCCACCATCTTGTCCTTCCAGGTGAAGTAACTTATTCCAGAGGACTCTAAGGAGTAGCAATAAATAGACTTTTCTTCCTTTCTTTTTTATTGTGATAAAATATTTGTACATAACATTCTTTTATCCGTTTTTAAGTACATTCTCATTGTTGCACAGCCATCCCTACTGTCCATCTCTAGAACTTTCTCAGCATCCCACACTGAAACCCTGTACCCACTGAATGATAACTCCCTGTGACCCCCTCCCCCCAGCTCCTGCTGGCCATCAGTCTGTGTCCCTTTCCTTTTAAGGTGGTGCATTTGTTAAAACCAACATAAGGTTACAGATCTTGAGGTTATATTTCTTCATTATGATTAGTGTTCGCTTTAGGTATTGACTTCTGTTTTTAGTTCTACAGGCCACGGTGCCTGTGTGCATTTTGCCCACAGCCACCATAGACCCTGGTACTTACGTACCTGCCTTGTTCCAAACAGAATATACTGGCCTCCATGCATTCCATGAGAAAATTACCTGTAGCAGTGTATTGATGGTATGTGCCATGGAAATCTTTGTAAGCCCAACTCTGAGCTATTTAAGTCCTTTTAAATACATTTTTTTCTTATTATAAAAGTAGTACAGGTTCATTGCGGATAATTAGGCAATGCCAATAATCCATAAGAACTAAATGAAAGTCTTGCTACCTAGAGCCAACCATTGTTTACACACAGGTATCTTTTCTCTGTATCTGAATCCAGTCGAGCCATACATAAAAAATGTTGTTTCTATAGGTCAGCATTTTTTTTTTTTATGATATTTACTTATTTGACAGAGAGAGTTCACAAGCAGACAGAGAGGCGGGCAGAGAGAGAGAGGAGGAAGCAGGCTCCCTGCTGAGCAGAGGGCCCGATGTGGGGCTCGATCCCAGGACCCTGGGATCATGACCCAAGCCAAAGGCAGAGGCTTAACCCACTGAGCCACCCAGGTACCCCAGGTCAGCATTTTTGAATATCAGCAATTTCCTATAGTTTAACACATATACACACCCTACACTTTTTATTTTGTAACTTCTAACTTGAATTTTAGACACTGATCAAAATGTCTTCCCTCTAGAGATTGGAGATGCCATTGGCGGCATTGACATTTTATCAGTACCTTGCTCGTGGAGAGGCGTTGTCCTTATCACTGAACAATTGAGTTATTTTCAGCCCATTCCCCAGAGGAGTCTTAAAGTCTAGACTAGTGGTAAATTTTGCTGATTTTCAAACTCTGAATACACGTCTAAGAGGAGAGGATAATTCTGGAACACAGGATGGACACTGGGGCAGATAAGAACTAGAAGTGGCAAGAGGATGGGAGTGAGAGCATGGGTAGGGGTCAGCTGCTCTTAGGCGTGTTATCTCGTCCCTAATTCCGCTGTGCGATATCAGCACATATCATTATTCTTTGACTTTGATTTAACTGTGGGATTGTCCATAGTTCATGAACAGAAATCAGAGTTATGTGGCAGGAGGAGGTGATATACTCTGCACATTTCTAGCCGTGGCGCCTTGAGCAACGCCCTTAAGCTCTCTTATCCTGTTTCCTCATAGTAAAATGGGCCCAAGTGTCACCCGCCTTACTTACTCATAGGGTAATGTCAGTATTGAGGAGGCCTCGTTTGTGTGAAAGGAATTTGTCACCTGTAAAGAGCCATGCTTTGGTGTCCTTACACTGCATTTCCTATTTTATTACCTTAAAACACTACAATAAACACTATAATTACTTTTCTTTCTGTACTTCTGGGGACTTCTGAGATCATCTTTTTATGTTATGATCACATGATCTCTTCATTTCTAATTTCTCTGTCTCTGATCTTGTATTCTCTTCTTTTTACCTGTCCTGTTTAATCTCACAGCTTGCACACACTCAATCTGTTCTCGCCTCCTTCATCTAGCCACATGACTACTACTGGACAAGTGACTCCTATTTACTGAGTTTTTGACCTCTTTCTTCCTCATTAGTTAATTACCTCATCTACTAAATAAGGAAGTTGTTATGACTCTTTACAACTTCAGCATTGTTAGAAATGGTCAGATAATAAGCAGCTTAGATATCCAATGCTAAGTTATACTCATTTGATGGCCTATTATGGTAATATTTTAAAAACTCTGTTTAGGAAGAATCTTTAATGTAGAAAAGGCTGTGACAAGAGGACACGGGGTTGTACATACCATAAGATCGCAGCTGTATGTAGAACATAAGCCTGAAAGGAAATACTCCAAAATTTAAACAAAAAAGTGACCTACAAACAAGTGATTTCAGTCCTTTTGTCTTCTTATTCATTCTCGGTCTCAGTTCCCTGCTTTTGTCCCAGATGTTATGGAGTGTTGACTCTGGTGTTAGGCACTGTGGGCAAGGGGCAAAGGCAGGGCTGCAGCACACATAAAAACAAGCAGTAAAGATGCAAGATCGTGTCATCAGTACCGAGGAGGCACAGACCGTCCATGGTTGTTGGACAGTGCTCCACTGGCCAGGGAAGTTGGAGTGTCTCCATCTCCTAGAAATGTAGTAAAAGGTCACATTCATTTCCTGCCTGAACAAAAGCTAGGTCTAGATTCCTCATGGACTCATTCGGGATAACTGAGAATTTCTGTTCTGTGTTTGGAGCAGCGTAGAGTCCTGGGGTTCTAGGGCTAGGAAAATTAAGACTTCAGTTAAATCCCTGCTGCGTCACTGTTGTGACCTGTGGCCTTCAGCAAATTATTAATGTTTGATCTTTAGGAGCCTTCTATATTGAATGTGAATTTATTAAAAGTTACGATGGTCTCTTTGGATGCCATGTATTTATAATTCTTGCAGTGGATAGGATCAGAATTCCATATTTGTCCTGTGTACTGCCTGACAGAAGGGAGTCTGATTGGTGTCCGTGATACTGAAGGCCTGTTTAAGTCCGTAAGTGTTGAAAAGTTGTCAGGGGGTATGTTGAAGAGAGACTAGAGCATAGATCCTGAAGAAAAGCATGGCTTGGTCATTTGTGTTCATGGAGGGAAGAGAGGTGTTAGACATCTGGAACTTTGGGAAGGTCAGCAGCTCTGCAATACGTATGTCATTTGACCTAGTGTTCTGTTCCTGGGAATTCGTGCTGTAGGCACACTGTCAGGTGTGCCGTACCTGCTGCAAGGTTATTGTTCCACTGTTGTTGATAATAGGAAGTACTGGAAATAACCTAAGTGTCCATCACAAAGGGGCTGGTTAAATTAGTTATGATACATCCATATCATGGATTACTTTAGAGCTAAAAAGGTGAATGCGAGGGTGCCTGGGTGGCTCAGTCGGTTAAATGTCTGCCTTCTGGTCAGGTCATGATCCCAGGGTCCTGGAATCGAGCCCCGTGTCTGGCTTCCTGCTCAGCGGCAAATCTGTTTCTCTCTCTCTCCCTCTGTCCTTCCCCTTCTTGTGCTCTCTCTGTCTCTCAAATAAATAAAATCTTTTTTTTTTTTTTTAAAGATTTTATAAATATTTTTTGACAGAGATCACAAGTAGGTGGAAAGGCAGGCAGAGAGAGGTAGGGGGGGAAGCAGGCTCCCTGCTGAGCAGAGAGCCTGATGTAGGGCTCGATCCCAGAACCCTGGGATCATGACCTGAGCCAAAGGCAGAGGCTTTAACCCATTGAGCCACCCAGGTGCCCCTCAAATACATAAAATCTTTAAAAAAAAAATAATAAAGATGAATGAGGAAGCACTGAGCTTTAAGAGAATATGCCTAAATAGAAAATCAAGGTCTAGTATAGTGCTATCGTATGCTACCTTTTGTTTAAAAGGTGGGGCAAATAAGATTCTATCTTTATTATTGCTTGTATAAGCATAAAGAAATTCTAGATGGCTATTCTAGAAGTGAAGAGTAGTAGTGTTTACCTGAGGGTAGGATGAAAGCCTAGGGAATCAATGAGAGAAAAACTTTTTTTTTTTTTTTAAAGATTGTATTTATTTATTTGATAGAGACACAGCAAGAGAGGGAACACAACAGGGGGAGTGGGAGAAAGAGACGCAGGCTTTCTGTTGAGCAGGGAGCCCGATGTGGGGCTCGATCCCAGGACCCTGGGATCATGACCTGAGCCGAAGGCAGCCGCTTAATGATTGAGCCAGCCAGGCGCCCAAGAGAGAAACTTTGAACTCTGTGTGTATTTATTTAAAAAAAGTTTTTAAAGATTTTATTTATTACATATTTGAGAGAGAAAAAAAAGAGAAAGAGAGTGCACGTGTACACATGAGCGGGGGGAGAAGCAGAGGAGGAGGGGGAGAGAATCTGAAGCAGACGCTGTGCTCAGCGTGGAGTCCAACTCCGGACTTGATCCCAGGAGCCTAAGATGGTGACTGGAGCCGAAACCAGGCATCAGACGCTTAACTTGACTGGGCCACCCAGGCGCCCCGATTTTTTAAAATTTTGAACCATGTAAATGTATTACTTTTGGCAGTTTAAATTTAAAGGTTTTTTAAAACAGAGAATACCTTTGTGATCAGTATGTGGGTGAGGTTGCAGGAGGCCCATTGAGGAGTTCATACCTTATCCACAGGAATTTATTCAGGTAACGGAACCCTCTGTTTCTTTTAGGTTTGTGGTCAAGGTTCAAAAAGAGATGTTTTAAGCTCGTCAGGAAGATGCCTATTATTGGTCGCAAGGTAAGTGGAATCTGTGTAGATCTCCCTGCCCTCCCACCACCCCCATGATCATGACGTCTTCTTTTGTTTACTGAACCTAGTGTGAATTCCCCAGGGCGAGGGGTGATTTTTATCCCCCTACCCACCGGGGAACATCTGACAATGTTTGAGGATGCCGTTGTTTGTCACAACTGGGGTGGGGTGCTGCTGGCTCTCAGTGGAACGCAGCCAGGGGTGCTGCTAAAATCCTGTGGGGCCCAGCAGACAATTACCTGGCTCAGAATGTCGGAAGTGCCAAGATTAAGAAACCCAACTGAACCCTCGCTCCAACCTATTTGACCAAAGGAGACAGGTGACGTCTGTTGAGGCAGAATTTACAATTAGGAAAGCTGACCACAATGCCATGATGCTTTTGAGCAGTGTTTGGCTGTGCTAACTTGAGATGTGTGTCTGGGTCGGGTACTTCTATGGTTAGGGCAGGGTTGACAGACTTTCTCTGTGAAGGACCAGATAGGAAACATTCTAGGCTTTGCAGGCCATACCGTATCTGTCAGAACTGTTCACGTCTGCCCCTGGAGCAGGAAAGCAGCACAGGCCATGGGTAGGTAAAGGGATGAGCCTGGCTGTATTTCCCTAAACAGCCAGGGGCCAGATCCCAGCTGTGGTCTGTGGGTCCCAGGTCTTGAACTTAGAGAGCTCTGTTCTCTTGCTCTTTGTACCTGTCTGTAGCGTTATGTTCTCTTCCCTGTGTCCTCTCTCCCCTCACCCACACTGAGGATGAGACCGTCACCTCTGTACCCTTTCCACCGGCTCTTTATCGCAGAAGATAAATAGGGAAGGCCCCATGCGAGCCCTAAGGAAGGCACAGGGGCCCTGATGTCTTCATCTCCCTACGTGCCCTGCCTGTCCCTCTTTCACTTTTGGCTTTCAGTTCCCTTTCCCTTTTCCCCTTTCCTGGCCAAATCAGAAGAGATGTCAGTCATCTTTAGCCTTTGACCAAAATCCATTCAGACCCCTGCGCTGACTAACTCTCCAGTAACCGTGTACTTATTTTCAGGTTCACTTCCTGATAGGGAAGCAGAAATAGTCATTGGGGTAGAAAAGGGGAATGGGAATAGATAGGCTTTTATTTGACCCTAAATCATCTTAAGCCCTAAAATGAAATCTCCTTGAGTCGTTCTAGAGTTAAAGGATAGGGAGAGGGCAACCGTAGAGAGTGGACTGGATTTTAAAGGATACTAGCATTTCCCCTTTCCATTCCCCGTATTTTTTTGCTCTTTTTCTTTACACATTTCTCCTTCAGTTTCAGATTTTGCGACAAATAAATGCTAGGATTCCAGAACCCATTCTTAAATTTATAAAATAACAGAATTGGAAGGCACTTAGAAACTAAGCAGACACCTTTCATTTTTTAGAAGCAGATTTTGAGGCTCAGAGATAGTTCTTTGTTTTGAGCGAGTGTGCATGATGTGTCCCTGTCTCGTTCATTTCACTACATTCACTTATTCAGCTGATGGTTTGCGGGCCCGTGCTCAGCATCGGGTACTGCTCCGGGTGCTGGGGACTAAGTCCCCAATCTGTGCAGCTTGCTCTGGGTGCTGGGGACTAAGTCCCCAATCTGTGCAATTTTCCTGGGAAAAGCAGAAAATAGATACATGAACAAATACACAAGAATTTCATTTTGAAATAAATGCAGTGAGGAAATTAGAATGTGATTGAGGCTCTGAGGCAGGCACTGGGGGAAAGGTTTATGCTGTGCTTTCTAATATCATCATCGTTTCGTGTCTCTTCTGCTTTATTACAGCGGCAGTCTAGGTGTGGAAGCTTGGCTCCCATGGCTTGGTCCTGCTGCGCACTTGCCATTTAGGCAGTACAGTCCATGTACAACTTTAAAAATGCTTTCATGCCCATCACATGTCTCCCCGCTACCCTGGGCGTGGCCTCCGCTGCCAGCCTCTGCCTGCCTGCTAGCCTGGTGGGCATGGTTCCCAGGCCCGGCTTTCCCTGCGGTTTCGCTGGGGGCCTCATCTAGGAGGCGCCTCTCCTGTTCTAATCCTCTACAGCTAGAGATGGGAAAGTTGCAACATTTGGGGTCAGATCTTGGGCCTCGGACATTGACAAACAGGTCACTGAAATGGTCTTGCTGTAATGCTCACAGATCGTGGCCTGCAGACGCTCTTTCAGGCCTGACCCTCAGGGGTCCCTTAGCGCAGATAGCAGCTCCTGCTGGCTTGGTGTGTTTTTAAAACTCTGCTCTGTCCTCCCCCAGCACTTTCTACCACCTGACTTTCACTCTCTGTGTCTGCTGCTACAGGGAAGTGCCGTGAGAACAGAATTTGTTCTCACTCATACTGCCTAGTGTGTTCTGGTCTCTGTGTCTCCCGGGCCCACAGGGGTCGTTGGGCAATGGCGGAGGGAAAGCACGGGCTGTTGCAGTGAGGATGAGGGCCAAGGATAAACAGCCATAGCTGATGAACCACATGGAAAGGACCACCACTCCCCTAGCACCGAAGCCTCAGGGAGTACAGGCAGCAGACAGCCCGAGGAGATGGAATGCGCTCTCCCTGTGCCCCCGGCGGTCTTGTGCACATGTTTGGGGAGTTGCACAGGGCCTCCGCGTTCTGGGCGTGCTCCGTGCGTGTCTGATGACGGAGCCCATCACTGGTGCAGGCACCAGCATCCCTTCTGCATGTGGCCTATTTTCTGGCTGCCGTTCGTGGCTCCACCTTTGTTTCTTCAGTACACACACTGGCTGCTGCCAGGACGCGGATATGGTCCAGATACCATGCTCACAGGTGCCGGCACTGGCTCGTGCGAACCCAGTAAAGCAGGGCTGATGTCGGGCATCCCAGAGGAAGGGGGCGGGGGAGGGAAACTGAATGCATGTTTGACTTTCAGAAAGAAAGTTGACTTTTCAGACTCCTAAGAGCCTGTCTCACATGCCGGCAAAGAGCTGAGCAGCCAGCACCTCCCCGTATCTGTTGAAAAAAAAATACCATCCCTGTTCTGTCGCACCCGTGTGGCGCCCAGCCCGGAGTGGTTGACTCGGAGTCATAACTGGTTCTTCTGCTCCCTGGCCTGTATTTTTCCATATCCTTCTTAACTTTGCCTTTCTTCCCTTTGGAGATCCAAGAGAAGGTGAACAAGACCAAGGATGATATAAGCAAGAACATGTCATTCCTGAAAGTGGACAAAGAGTATGTAAGAGCTCTGCCCTCGCAAGGTCTGAGCGCGGCTGCAGTCCTGGAGAAGCTCAAGGAGTACAGCTCTATGGGTATGATTCTGGTCAAACGCACGCTGCTTGCTTTCCCAGCATGGCCGGTTTGGTCCTTATTTAATGTCGTAGGTTAAAAATGCTTCATCCCTGGAACTTACATGTTCATCCTGTCTCAGAGGCTGAATTTCTTACTATAAAAATTATGCTTAAATTCATCCTTCATCCATAAAGCAAACAAATCTCAGAGACAGTGGAACTGGAACTTGGTCCCATTTCCTTTTGTGAGCCTGAATAAAACATAGTTTGTTTTGAAAGAGAGAATATATATGTAAATAAAATAAAGTGCAGATTCATTACAGAAATTGTGAAATCTGCACAAAGGCACAAAAGAAAATCCCATCATCACAAGATAAACACAGATGAGATACACACACACACACCTACACACGTGTGGGTATATATATGTATGTGTATGTATATGAATTTTAATAGTGTTTTTGTGTAATAAGCATACACACACAGATAGATACATATATATGCATGCATGTAAGGGAAGGATAAATATACCAAGTAGCTTAAAGTTCTTAATGTTTAAGAGTGTAGCGCTGGCTGGCTGAGTTGGGGGAGCACGTGACTCATGATCTCAGGGCTGTGAATTCAAACCCCACCTTGGATATGGAGATTACTTAAAAAAAATGCAAAGGTCTTTTAAAACAGAGTGTCGCCTGTGGAATCAGCCTGGATTCACATCATGGTTGGGCCACTTAAGGTGTGACTTTGGGTGAATTACTTAAACTATGTCGTGGTCTCTGTCTTTCTACGATGGGGATTACTTGAAAAGATGATTACAGAGATTAAATAAAATCATACATGTAAATGTATAATACCTGGCATGTAGTAAGTGCTCAATAAATGTTGACTCTTTTTTTAAAAAAAATTTATTTGAGAAAGAGAGAGAGGGAGAGAGAGAGAGAGAGATAAAGCACTAGCAGCGGGGAGAGGAAGAAGCAGACTCCCCACTGAGCAGAGAGCCAGATGCGGAGCTTAATCCCAGGACCCTGAGATCATGATCTGAGCCAAAGACAGATTCTTAACTGGCTGAGCCACCCAGGCGCCCCAAAATGTTGACTATTAACACAAATGCAGGTTTGTTACAGAGTAAGATCATATTGCAAGTACTCTTAGAAAACAGCCTTTTTAGTTTGTCATAATTTTAGATTTGCAGAGAATTTGCAAATTCATCCATACAGAGATTTCCCATATACCTGGCTTCTCCTGAAGTTAACATCTAAAGTGACTGTGATTCATTTGTCAAAATAGTAGTTGACTAAACTGCAAATTCTATTCCTATTTTGTCAGTTTTTCCACCAATGTCCTTTTTAACGTTCTAAGCTCCAATCCAGGATGCCACATTGCATTTCAGCAAATACACTTAAAAATTTCTAATTGACATATGTTGAGATTTTCACATTGGATAGTATAAAATTAGCACAGTCCAGGATTTATAGGTGATATAAAGTGGGGATCAGCCAACTGAGACCTGGATATTAAAGATTTCATTGATCTTGAAGGCACATTCCTGTCGCCATATTGCCTTGCCTTCCCTTTTCTGAGTCATTGTCAAGTAGCACCGGTAAAATAACAGGAAATGAAACCACATATTCTATTTTTGAAGGGCTGGTGGCCTCTGGTCTGAAGACATGCATGGGACAGTCCAGTGTCCTCTAAGGAAAGAGGGAAAGTCCTATGGAATCAAGCCAGAGCTGACTGAAGATGAGGGGTCTGTCTGGATGTTCGCTACTCATTCTTTTGCTCTCTTGCTGGAGCTGAAGAGCTTGGATTTGTGGGGCCCGTGGCGACAGTTTTCAGTTAGTGTGTCTCTGGTAGCTTTGTCACTGCCCACTCTCAGTAGGGCACAACTGTGTTGTATCAGAGGTACCTGCTACCCACATCAGCAGAATCGTTGATACAACGTGGACTGTCTTTGGAGAAGCACCTCACACCGGAGGTGGAATTGTGGGTGGGTTTGGGGTTCGTGTGAGGCCAGGGCCGCTGAGACCAGGGTGCTGATGGAGTGTTCATCATCGTGGTTTGTCTGGTCAGGGAGTCCGTTCCCTGGTTCCACCTTTGATGATAGTGTACTGAAATTTCACACTTCGCCTTGCATTTTCCTGCCAACTCTGCTCATCACAGTTCTCACACTTCCTTTGACTAGATAGGAAGGGGAGAAAAAAGTCAAGTTAGCCATACAGAGACCAGAAAATGAGTATAGATAAAGGAACAATTTGGTACTGGTAGAAGGCCGCTGGGGATGATGACGACATCATTATTGGACTGTATTATACCTGGATGCTCCTACTGTCTTTTTCACACTATTGTTGGTAGTTTCACACTTTCATCTTTATTTTGCTATGATAATAAGTCTTTATTGGAATTCTTTTTCTTGATTTAACATAAGAACACCTTTGGGTTTCTACTCAAAAGTTTTTTTTTTCTTCTTTTGTACCCAGAGGTGTTTCTTTATATTTTGGGGAGGTTCCTGCTTATTGACCCAGTGGTCTTATCTTTCTCTACAGACATCTTCTGGCAGGAAGGGAAAGCCTCTGGAGCAGTGTACAGTGGGGCAGAGGAGCTCACCGAACTCCTGGTGAAGGTAAATGCTGGCACCCCAAGGGAGCATGTGTGGTCTGTGGCCTTCATACTACCTCAGTTTTTCTCCTTCCTTTTGTAATAAGAAAAAAAAAATTACTTAAGGATAGTTGAAAAGTTTCTCTTTACCCATACATAGGTGAATATGGATAATATTGTCAGAGACATCTTCAGTCCATAAAAAAGGACAATATTACTTACGTTTCCATGCTTTATCGGTGCCCCATGTAGAAGGCAGATTACTGGGGAAGGTTGTCTGTTTTCCCATCACTTGAGGTTATTAATGCCAAGACATACTTTGATGAGAAGAGAGGAGGAACAGACACTTGTCCCTCATTCCCTGTACCACCTGAGTCTCAGATCAAATGATTTTGAGAATAAGCAATAGGCTCACTCATAATTGAAATAATTCTCATTTTTTTGGTTGACTTTAGGGTTGCCTATAGCTTCTTCTCTCCTAATCCAGTTTATTTCCTAAACCCCACTTTGGCATTGGCATTGGACTCAACAGTGTTTAAGGTCTTTGTGTTTGATTATGGTAACTATGAAACCACTCCTACCTTACTAAATACTGTAAGTTTGGCTCGGCTATACCTTGACATAATGCTCTGAGCTTACTTCTTAGCTTAAAAATCTTTCCACTAAAAGATTTCCACTGAAAGATAGCTTCCCGCTATCTATGGGATAAAGCCCAAGCTGCTTACGTAGCAGAAAATGCAAGCCCGGCCTCAGCTGGCTCCCATCTGTGTTTTTCAACTACCTCTGTTACTTTCCCATGTAAATATGAACTTCCGCCTTTCCTCTTCACTGAGTGTACCTTGCTCTTATCATGTTTTCCTCCCCTCCTTCATTCCACCTGTTCAAAATGATGAATTCCTGTTGATCTGTCAAGGTTCTGCCTGTGCAGACACCTCGGACCCCTCAGGCTGTTTGTTATTCCCTCCTTAGGGCTCCTTTCATCACTTGCATACTTCTGCTATCACACACCTGGCTGCTTTTTGCTAGATGCTCTCCTAAGGGCTTTGCATACCTAATGTTATTTACCTAGAACCCTATCAGGTAGGGACCATGATTGTCTCCTTGAGCACATGAGGGCACTGAACCTCAGGTGTTTTGACCTCACATGACACAGCAAGAAATAATAGGCAAAGCTAAGATTGCAAATTGGGTCTGTTTGGTGTTTCAGTGTGTGCTTTGAGCCACATTCAAATCTCCTCTCTCACCACATTGTAAAATAACTTATTTGCAAGTCTGTCTCCTCCACTGTATTTTGAGCTGCTTTGGAGGGCAACACATATCTTCCCGTTTTTCCAGTTTCTAGGGTTGTGCCTGGCGTCTAGAAACCTTTGTCTAGTGCATGATTTCCTGTCCCATACCGTGTATTTATCCCTCCTGCTTCATATCTGCGTGCATCGGTTTGCAGGCTTACGGAGATTTTGCATGGAGTAATCCACTGCATCCAGACATCTTCCCGGGACTGCGCAAGATCGAGGCCGAGATTGTGAGGATAGCTTGTTCCCTGTTCAATGGGGGGCCGGATTCCTGTGGCTGTGTGAGTATATGCAGGTGGCCTCCAATAACCTTATGTTTTTATCCTAAAATAGAAGAGTTTGTTGGAAACATTTTGTTACACAAGTAATGTGATTATTGGTAGGAAGATCAGATTAACAACAATGTAAAAATGCTAACTTCTGGAATTTTTAGAGCATCAGCATTTTATTGTGTATTTTTTAAGATTTTTTTTCCCCTTCAGTTTTATATTTTGAAAAATTTTAAACCTGAAGTTACTAGAAAGACAGCACCATGGATTCCGTTACTGTAAATATTTTGCACATCTGCTGTGTCTGCTCCTTTCTTTCTCCCCCTCCCTCTTTGACCCATCCAGTATACTCCCAGCAGGTAGGCCTTCTCCTGTGCCATCGACTCTCTGAACTCTGAAGAGACCATCAGTTAAGCAAGCCCAAAACAGTTTGCCTCATCTGAAGAAGTGGGAGAAACGTATCTCACGACCCTGAAATTTAACTACTTAGGGTACATGCCCCCGGAAAACTGGCACGTGTGTGTCAGGATAGATGGATATTCTAGCAGCATTGTCCGTGATGTTGGAAACTGGAAGTAATTCAAATGTCAGTCAGCAGTGGGGGAAATTACAGACTGCTCCCTGTGTTTCAGTCTATCAGAGCTGCTGCTCTGAGTGATGCTCAGATTAGCCCATTTTGACCAGTGGGAGCCTCTTATTTTTGGCCTCTAGGTCCTTTTGTATGACTCAAGTGGTCTTTGGAAAGCTTCCTTTCTTTCCTTCTTTTTTTGACAAAATATTTTTATTTGCTGAAATGTTCCAGGGTTGCTTTATGCATTTCCAGACACCAAGCCAGCCATTTGTCTGAAGAGCCCCTGTTTCATTCAGAATGGTGTAAAATACTTACATGGCTCCTAACCCAATTTATAGAATAAGACTTATACAAAATTAGCTGGAAAAACATCCAGAGGGACAAACAGCACAAAGGAGGTTGGAGAGACATGAGGGCTGGAGCAAAAAGGGCTGCCACGCACCTGGTTGGTGTGTAATTAGTGTTGAAAGAGCAGGTGTTAATCAGCCGCAGCGGTGGGGGCGTTTGCAGGTGGAGGAAAGACAGGCTGTGAGGTGCTCATTGTTGGAGCCAGGAGATGAGAACAGGGGTTTCATGGATTCCCTCTTCAGCTGTGTCTCCTCTGCATTTGAGTTCTCTTATTGAGTTTTTTTTTTTTTAAGATTTTATTTATTTATTTGATAGGCAGAGATCACTAGTAGGCAGAGAGACAGGCAGAGAGAGAGGAGGAAGCAGGCTCCCTGCTGAGCAGAGAGCCCGATGCGGACCTCGATCCCAGGACCCTGAGATCATGACCTGAGCCGAAGGCAGAGAGGCTTAACCCACTGAGCCATGCAAGCGCCCTTGTTTTTTTTTTTTTAACCTTATTTACTGTATTCTTCATTTTTGAGAATTTTGTCTTAATCTACCTGGGGATCCTTTTGTTTTTAAACTAGGTTTTTGCTCATTTTATTTATTTATTTCTGTTATTATTTAAGTGTTCTGCCTTATGTGGGGCTCGAACTCACAACACTGAGGTCAAGTGTTGCAACCTCTGCTGACTGAGCCAGCCAGGTGTCCCTGCACGGTGGTTCTTTATCGTTTCTTTCCTTGGCTTATGTTTTGTTCATTTAAATATGTTGCGTGTAAGTATTTTATATTCTGCGTCTGATAGAATTATCAGACAGGATTGTTACTCATGAGTCTTAACTCTCTGTTTCTGCTGGCTTCACTCATAATCATCTTGTATCCTTATATTTGTGACTTTTTTTTTTTTTTTACATCTTCCTGGGAACTTTAGTCTCCAGATTGAAAAGAAGTTCTCGTAGGGGACATGTGTAGTTACTTCTGGCAGTTGCCGGGGACTTGCTGGGAGGTGCTGTCACATTGGAACCCATTTGAGTCTGATGCTCAGGGTGCAGTCTCATCCTCCAGAGGGCGCGTGAGTTCACGCTGCAGACCCACGTGAGAGCTGTCTCATGAGTCATTCTTGAGAGAGAGCCTTATTTTTCTTTACCAGAGCATCGGGTCGGGGAGAAAGCAGTTTTTCGAGCTGTCTTCTTCTGCACAAGTGGGGCTTTAATTTCTTGTTCCCCCGAGATGTGGGTGTAAGTCCCAGGTTCTCCAGCTGTCTCCTGTTAGACTCTTGACCTTGGACAGGCCCGCAGTTTACCTCCTCTTCGTTTGTCGCGGTGGGGGTCGGGGGTCTCAGAGGGTGGTAGCAGCCCTCAGAGTTGAAACCAGCTTTGGCACTCACTTATCTGCTAGGATTCTTGATTTTGCTCTCTTCGAGTTCAGTATATTCCTTTATGTTATAAGCTCAGTGGTGGATATAAAATAAATTTTAATGTTTTATGAGGCTTTTTAGTTGTTTCCCTTGAAGGGGGGCTGCCCAAGATGGCTGATCTATAGTGCTGGAAATAGGATTTCCATGATTGTTGTTTTTTCCCTCCATGTGATCTTTGTACACTTTACAGCCTTCTCCTTCTGGTTCTGCTCTTCTCCACTTTCTTCCTAGGCTACTCAGCTATTCTTAGAGAATACAATTTCACAGATTGGCGATCATGCCCGTGTTTCTTCTCCAAACACCTTTTGGTTACGTGTGTCCAGCCAGAGGGATACAAGTGGGAGAGACAGTGATCTTTCAGTCTCTGTCTTTTTTTTTTTTATCTAGGTTCACTAAACTTGCCTTAAACCTTTCCTCCAAGCTCTGATCTGTATTCTCAGCAGTGTTTATTCTGTTCTCGTGTCCTTACTACTCCTGTATCGGGGTCGTTTGGTACTCTGTGTTTTAGGTCTGCGGTCTCATTCTCTTGGTTGGGTGTCCAGTCTTTCAGCTCCTACTTTCTTGAATTCCTTGTCTTGTCATGTTGTCCTATAGTGAGAAACAGTCGTGAGGAATTCCCTTCTCCTCCTCAGACTGTTATCTTTTGAGTTAGTGACCATGCCATTTTCTTTCACTGTGGCTCATGCTGATCAGAATATTCTATTTTGTTCTGACACATGCTGGCTGATTTCTCATCGGAGAGCATTAGGTTGAGGGCCTCTTGTATTAGAATATCAGGCCACACCTGTGTTAGAATATCTGGGTCTCTTCTGAGATTTTGTTAAAAGTTGCCTGTTAGAGTTCACTCTGCCTAGTTGGAAGAAAGTAATACCTTTTGGGCTTTGATTATTTCTTTAACCCATTCTATATCCTTGAAGCCGTGACTTTGAGGGGTTGGTCCCAGTGTTCTCTTTCCCCATTTTGCCCGTTTCTCCCTAGCTGCCTTGTCTACCACTCACAGAGCAGAAGATGAGGAACCCCCATCCACTTGCTTCTCTGAAGATTTGGAGGGGTATTAATGAGAATCCTCAGGATTTTGCTGGCTTGTTGGACAATTTGAAGGGCTAGGAAGAGGAATTAGGAACTGTGTTTTGCTCTCTGCTGAGCTTTAGTAACTTGTCTGTCTTTTTCATTGCCAGTATTTGAAGTTTATTGCATTGTATTCTCTCTCTTTCTTTGGTGGTTGCGATTATAGCTTTCTGCAGCTGTTTTTTCCCTACTTTTAGGTACCAGGGGAGAGGAAGTAGCTGTGAGGTGGGTTCAGTGTTTCATCTTAATGCCCAAGTCCAACCCCAGGGGCATTTTTGCATTGCTGTGGTATCCGGGCTCGGGAGAAGGATGGAGTCTGAGATCCCTTAGTCTTTTCTAATACTTAGACTTTTATAAGAGAACTAATTACCTCTGGGGTACTTTGAGTTTCTCTGTTTCTCTCACTCTTCTCAGTATCTGTCTCCATCTCTTTGTCTCTCTCTTGATGAGTTCTTTCAGTGAAAAAAGTTCAGAGGTGGGAACCGAGACAGAACCGCATGGCCAAGCTCTGAAGCTCTTAAGCTCTTTTCAGGTTCTTTGTTCTTCAATCTAAACCATCTTTCCTGTTACTAACTTCATTTGGCTCTGTTAGTAATGGATGAGAAGTGATTTCATACACCGAAAGAACTTCTGTTGCCCTGGGGAACAGTCTTGGCTTGTGCAAAGGCCTCTGGGTCCAAAGAGCATCTGAAAGAAAATTCTCTCAACAGGCCATGTTCTCCTTTTATTCTCTGACATACTTCTCTTATATTATAGCAAGAGTTTCTCTAAATGTCGGAAGAAGCTGACTAACATTAGTAGTTATTGAAGCTTTCATCTTCTGATTACACACTTTCCAATTTTCTTTGGGCACAGAGGGTCGAAGGCAATGGGAGGTTAATAGCATGTTTAGACACAGAATTTGGGGATTAGAAATAAAAATTAGAAGTAGAATTTAGGTATTCCTGCTTTTACAGTCAGAAGTACACTGCTGTTTGCCCAACAAATAATGATGTTGATCTGATTAGTTATTGGACTAAAAATAGGGCGTGTGTGTGCTGGGTGACTAGGGGTTTGAAAATCCTTTTGCGTAGGTCATTACTGAACCTTAGTAAGAGGCTGACACACTGGAGACTTGGACATTGCTGGTCCTTTCCTGACTTGCTTCACAGCTCATTTGGGTCCTCATGTGACAGTCTGAGGTTTTGTGCTAGACCACAGGGCAAGCTGCTGATTTGCAGAGCTGACCTCCACTATAAGCATTTTCATCTCCTCTGGCAGAAAAGTGCAGAGGCTACAAACAGGCGGGCGTCCTGTGCCCAAGTTCAGCGCATTACTTAGTGGGTGATGGGCACGTGTTTGGTGAAAACTTCCTCACAGTATGACTGACTTCTCTGAGCTAATCTTCCATGTAACTTCCATGTAATTTTAGCCATTCTGGCTGGTGTGAGGATTCTGGCTGGGATTTTGTAGCCAATGGTGTTTTTGTCCTCTGTGGGGGTATTATATGAAATTCCAGAGATCCCCTCTCTTATTCCATCTCATATTAACGCTTCACCAAATGAACAAATGTAGAAAGTTTTCCTTTTCTAAAAAAAATTTAAATTCAATTAATTAACATAAAATGTATTATTTGTTTCAGGGATATAGGTTTGTGATTCATCAGTCTTACACAATTCACAGCACTCCCCATAGCACATTCCCTCCCCAGTGTCTGTCACCCAACCACCCCATCCCTTCCTCCCCACCAACCCCAGCAGCCCTCAGTTTGTTTCCTGAGATTAAGAGTCTCTTATGGTTTGTTTCCCTCTCTGGTTTTATCTTGTTTCATTTTTCCCTCCCTTCCTCTATGATCCTCAGTCTTGTTTCTCAAATTCCTCATATCAGAGAGATCATATGATAATTGCCTTTGTCTGATTGACTTATTTTGCTTAGCATAATACCCTCTAGTTCCATCCATGTTGTTGCAAATGGCAAGATTTTGAGAGTTTTGATGACTACATAGTATTCCAATGTGTGTGTGTGTGTGTGTGTGTGTGTGTGTATATCTCACATCTTTTTTTTTTTTTTTAAAGATTTTATTTATTTATTACTCAGAGAGAGAGAGAGAGAGAGTGAGCACAGGCAGACAGAGTGGCAGGCAGAGGCAGAGGGTGAAGTAGGCTCCCTGCCGAGCAAGGAGCCCAATGTGGGACTCGATCCCAGGTCGCCGGGATCATGACCTGAGCCGAAGGCAGCCGCTTAACCAACTGAGCCACCCAGGCGTCCCATCTCACATCTTTATCCATTTATCTGTTGATGGACATCTAGGCTCTTTCCATAGTTTGGTTATTGTGGACATTGCTGATATAAACACTGGGGTGCATGTGCCCCTTTGGATCACTACATTTGTATCTTTAGGGTAAATACCCAGTAGTGCAATTGCTGGGTTATAGGGTAGCTCTATTTTCAACTTTCTGAGGAACCTCCATGCTGTTTTCCAGAGTGGTTGGACCAGCTTGCATTCCCACCAACGGCATAGGAGGGTTCCCCTTTCTCCGCATCCTCGCCAGCATTAGTCATTTCCTGACTTGTTAATTTTAGCCATTCTGGCTGGTGTGAGGTGGTATCTTACTGTGGTTTTGTTTTGTATTTCCCTGATGCCGAGTGATGTTGAGCACTTTTTCATGTGTCTGTTGGCCATCTGGATGTCTTCTTTGCAGAAATGTCTGTTCATGCCTTCTGCCCATTTCTTGATTGGATTATTTGTTCTTTGGGTGTTGAGTTTGATAAGTTCTTTATAGATTTTGGATACTAGCCCTTTATTTGATATGTCATTGGCAAGTATCTTCTCCCATTCTGTGAGTTGTCTTTCGGTTTTATTGACTGTTTCCTTTGGTGTGCAAAGTTTTTTATCTTGATGAAGTCCCAATAGTTCATTTTTGCCCTAGCTTCCCTTGCCTTTAAGACATGTCTAACAAGAAGGTGCTGCAGCAAAGTTTTACTTTTTATCAACTGATGCTAATAGATGGCATTGGGTGGATTATTTTAGTCTTCTTAGGGCTCAGTTTTCTCACCCGTACAATGAAAAAGTTATCTAAGCTTGTATGAATTTTTGGAGATGAGAAATCTAAGAAAATAGCCACGTAGCTCAGAGCTGTGGCTTTTTTTGTTTTTTGGTTTTTTTTTTAAGTGATTTTTTTTTTTTTTTTTTTAAGATTTAGTTATTCATTTGAGAGAGAAAGAAGAGGTCGAGGAGAGGGGCAGAGGGAGACCTCCAGCTGAGCTCGGAGCCTGAGGTGGGGCTTGATCTCACAACCCTGAGATCCTTATCTGAGCTGAAATCAAGAGTTGGATGCTTAACCAACTGAGCCACCCTGACTCCCCTGAAATGATCCATTCTTAGATGTCATCAAAAGCTGGGGCACCTGGGTGGTTCAGTGTGTTAAGCCTCTGCCTTCAGCCCAGGTCATGATCTCAGGGTCCTGGGATCGAGCCCTGCATCGAGCTCTCTGCTCCGCAGGGAGCCTGCTTCTGCCTCTCTGTCTGTGCCTACCTCTCTACCTGCTTGGGAATCTCTCTCTCTCTGTGTCAAATAAATAAATAAAATCTTAAAAAAAAAAAAAAGATGTCATCAAAGGCTAACCTGATGGGTATGATGTACCTGTGTTGGTCATGGTTTACTGAGTGTCAGATCAGGCTTTGAGAAAGTTAGGTGAGGTTCTGTTAGGTGTCAGTCTTTAGGCTAGGTGCTTGGAATATTGTCATGAGCGGATTGGTCCCCACCTTCATGAGTTTATGGTCTCATGAGGGAAATTGGACACACGACATGACCTTTGAATGTTTACGTTTCAACTCTGATAAAGCAATTCACCAATAACAGAGGGCTAGGCCTAGCTTCAGGAAAACATTTTACTTTGTTTAAAAACACTAGGATTTTTGTTTTGATTTCGGGTAAGTGAGATAACCAACTTCTAAGTAGAGGCTTCTGCTTTTCTTTTTCAAAGAGAAACCACAGTTCACTTCGGGATATCTAAACTTTTCTTCTTGATCTGCTGAGATATCACATAGTTTAGTGGACTTTGTGACTGCAGTGTATTCTGCAGCGGGCACTGGGAATACAGATCGAAGTCTGTAATCCTGACACTTTTGAGTGGTGTAAAACGCGCTGTCCTGTCCACAGCCGGGTGAGTGGCAGAAGTGTGAGCCCGTGCGCTGCCGACGTCTGGGGAGCTGGTGCATTTTCCCATACAGTGCAGAGATTTTTATTTCATAGGTTTTTACTCTTCTGAACCAAGATTGAGCTTAGCGGATAAAGCCACATTTCCTTCCGGAAGACACAGCAGTGTCCGCTCTGCAGAGTGTATGCCAGACCTGCATCAGACACCACCAAGATAGGGTGGGACGTGCATGCCGATGGCTGTCCTTCACTGCACTCCGAGGATGACATCTCTTCTTTATTACAGGTGACCTCTGGGGGGACAGAAAGCATACTGATGGCCTGCAAAGCTTACAGGGACCTGGCCTTTGAGAACGGGATCAAAACTCCAGAAATGTATGTATGCGTGGCTTTGGGATTTATCTGTTTGGAGTACTGCGGTTGGAAACAACCTGACCATCTGTTTTTTCCTTCTCTTCCTTCTTCCTCTGGCAGTTCAGTCCTCTTTTATCCTGTCCTGCACCCTCGACCCTTATCCCCTCACATTCCACAGAATCCTACGTGGATCAGCCAGCTAATTTTAAAGGTCATTCATTTCCGAACCCCCAAGTTTATACATGGTAAATACTGAAAGCAAGAATGAAATCCTTTAAAAAAAAAAAGAGAGAGAATGAAATCCTTTTTCTAAAAGTGATCGAGTAACAGGACTACATCTTTGAATTCTGTGATATTTATTATAAATAATCTGGAGCCTAAGGAAAAACTCTCTAATTCCCTTAAGTTCAGTGCTCGTTACTTAAATATGATAGGCTGTCTCAGGGTGCTTCCTAAGAAAATCAGCCTGCAGGCTATTTTCTGGGAGGAGAACTTGTAAAAATCTTTTTGAGATGTATCCATAATGCCACCCCACGGGCATAACTTTGATATTTGGCTGCATTTTTTTCTCTAGACACGCTCTTTGCCCAAAGTGTTTATGCTACATCCTCTGGGTTTGCGTTTCCCCACAAGTATCAGTGACCCTAGGGTTGCATGTGGTCTCATGCTGTCCTTCGCCCTCGGCCTGAGAGAATCCATCAGGCTGCCATCTGCCTCTGTATATAAATCTTGGTGCTTGGTACTCAGTAATAGAGTCTTTCCTTTCGTAAAGGGAGCGCTTGATTTTGAGAGTGCAGTAACTGAGAGAATTCTGAAAGCAAATACTTAACCATGACTCGGTCCCCTTTTCAGTGCGATTTGTCCACGCTCTGTGCCCAGCGTGGGCCTTGTACTCAGGACCCCAAGATCAAGAGTTGCAGGCTCTACTGATCGAGCCGCCAGGCACCCCCATTTCAGTACTGTTGGAAGTGCTGCTTCCAAGTGTGTAGGAACAATGGGAATTACAGTTTCTCACAGGCTTGTGGGCTCTCAGAGCTGGAAGGAACCACTGACCTCATAGAAGCAGTCTTGGGTTCTTGCTTGGCTGTGACCCCGCCACCCCCCACGGCTTCCTGGCTTTGGATGGTTGACGCAAGAAGGCTCTGCCGGATGCCGATCTGCTCTAAATTCCCAGGCCCTCGTCTTCTCCCTGTCAGCCCTAATTTATGCTTTGGATTTCCTAAACCATAGGGAGATTTCTATAGAAAATCATTTGACCTCTTTTTCTTTGTGCCTAAAAGGGTAAAACAGTATAAACACTTGTAAAAATGAGGAAGAATAACCAGCCGCTAACTCGGCTCTCTCTTGAGCCCTGTTTCTATCTGAATTTCATTACTCTTTTCTCTCTCATATTAGTGTGGCCCCCCAAAGTGCCCATGCCGCATTTGACAAAGCAGCCAATTATTTTGGGATGAAGATTATACGGGTTCCGCTGAACAAAATGATGGAGGTGGATGTTCGGGTGAGTTCCCCTGAAGGGCCCGTGTTGTGCCATGGACCGTGAGGAGCAGGGACACACCCGACTGACAGACGTTCTCCAGCGTTGTGCGCAGAGAGGCTCCAGTGGCCTCTGACTGTGGGCAACGGGGCTGCCAAGCTGCCGCCACTGTGGGGACAGAGTGCAGCTCGGGGTTTGCATAAAGTCGTGAGCTCTGAGAAAGCAGGATGGTCCAGTCCTTGGGTTGAGACTTGGCAGACCTGGGCTTCACTTCTGCAACTTCAGTTTCTCCTCTCTCTGAGATGAACACGCACTGACTTGGCCCAGGACTCTTCCTGTGGTTTTCAGGAGCCCGAATCCATATCCTCGCCAATGAAATAGGAACTGTGTCTTTTCAGAACTAAACTGCCCAGTTTCCTAGCACTAGCATTATTTCTGCCTGCCATCTTTACTGATATGTTGACTGACTAATTAGTTAATTGACAGATAAAAATTGTGCGTATCTAAGGTGCTGGCTGGATGTTCTGCTGACGCGTGTCCACACAGCCAGCTCCTTACTACAGCCGCACTGTGGAGCGTATCCCATCTCACATAGTTACCATCATCCTTCTTCTCCCTTGTTCTGGATTAGAATGCACGGGGCTGCTCTCTGGACCGCTAGCTGGTTTCAGGCACACAGTGCAGTATTGGGCAGCCTGGCCACACGGCTGTCCACGAGCGGTCCAGAACGTCCAGACAGGCAACACTGAAATTTGGTGCCCCTCATCCTCCAGCCCCTGGCAGCCACCATTCTGCTCTCTGCTCCCGAGTTTGCCTGTCATGGGCGCCATGTATGTGAGGTCACGCAACCTTTGTTTCTCTGTCCCTGGCTTACTTCACTCAGCAGAGTGTCCTCCAGGTTCATCCATGTCGTCACAGGTGGCAGGCTTGCTTTTTTAAAGACCCTGTAGTAGTCCTTTAGTCACTGTTTCTACGTCGTGCCGTGTGGAGAACTCTCTCGTACCTGGGTGCTGTAAGAATTGCATCTGAGTCTTGTGACGGCCCGGGTGGGGGGCAGGGGCGGGGGCTGTAGAAACTGTCTGTCCTTGCACGGCACACAGGTGAGGAAACAGTTTGTATGGAGTTAAGTCGTTGCCCCAGGGTTCCACACTAGTGAGCAGGGCTGGGACTCTCACAGGCTTCTCTGCCTCTTGGCCCAATGCCCTTTTTCCTGCCAAGTTGTGGCCTCAGACTTTTCCCCAGATGGAGCCCTCTGACCGCATTTGCGTGCTGCCACTGTGGCGGGGGCTGTCCTCTCCCGGGTTGGAGAGGCAGAGGAGGCGGGCTAGAGGAGCGCAGACCCTGAGCCGGTGGCCTGGAGTGCTCATGGCAGCAGCACAGAAGAGGGATTCTGACGTGGCTTCTCATTTTCCTTTCAACTTTAAACCCCTAGGCAATGAGGAGAGCCATCTCCAGGAACACGGCCATGCTTGTCTGTTCTACACCCCAGTTTCCTCATGGTGTCATTGATCCTGTCCCTGAAGTGGCCAAGGTACGTGGGAAAAATGGGCCGCCAGGCACTCAGGCTGAGATATGAGAATAGAATGTAATGGTGTAGTACTCGGCAGGGAGAGGCAAGTCTCAACTTGGACACGTGCGCACATTTCCTGAGCCCCGTAGGAAGCCCTGCTGCTCTGTTTGGAGCCTCAGAAAGCTACTGGCTTCTGCTGTGGGAAGAAGACTGTTGAAACTGGATATTCTGGGAGAGTACTGGCCTTTCGATTCAGCCGGGAAAATGAGCTGCATTTGGAGTCTGCTGCCCGAGGGTGGCGTCCAGCAGTAGTCCCGCCTGTCGCCCTTCCTCCCCACCCGGCAGGACCTTGTGTCCAGCGTCAGAGGGCTGCTCTGTCCTGCTTGATTTTAGAGTGAGGTTGAGGCCCTGTGTATTAAAATATTTTTTAAAGCCTGAAAGACGCAGTATATAGTGGCCTGTGGTCACAGTACACCTTTCCACCTGCGTCTTGCAAGTTTTTGTTATATGGCTATAATGCAAATAAATTCTCTTGTGGTCTTTGTCTTTTGGGACTAGCTGGCTGTCAGATACAAAATACCTCTTCATGTAGACGCTTGTCTGGGGGGCTTCCTCATCGTCTTCATGGAGAAGGCAGGATACCCGCTGGAGCAGCCTTTTGATTTCCGGGTGAAAGGTGTGACCAGCATTTCAGCGGATACCCACAAGGTGAGACAGGGAAGCGACCATAGGCGGTTGATTATCTCCACTACTGTCAACAAAATAAATTGGTTAAAGCATTAACTTCCACTCAAAATGTAAAATTAAATCCGGCTCTTTGATCTCCCCCACGTAGCTGGTTCAGGTGACAAAGTATGGTGCTAGAGGTGACTGGTAATCGTGAAAAGGGACCTGTTATCTTTGTGGCATATGGCTAAGAGAAGTTCTGCATCCACCGGCTGTATGTAGCTGGGACATGCCAGGACAGGGGCCCATAGAACAATGTTCCTGAAGCGCTGAGATTCCGTGGGGTGGAGGCTAGTGATGAAGCTGATAGTGGAATTCCTGAGAGAATGGACGTTGGTGCTGTAGCTCCCACGCAGCCGGGGCTGCTGCCTGGAGTGACAGGAGCCAGCTAAGGGAAGCCCTTTGGCAAAAGGGAAGAACTGCGTGCTCGAGAAGGTTGGGCGCCGCCCCCGGTGGCCTGGAACAATGTCTAAGTTGGTTGGGAATGCTCTGAAGCTCCACGAGGCTGTGGGGAAGTCAGGGCAGCCGCAGAAATGTATGCTCACTCGCGGAGCTTGTTTTCATCCCAAGTACAGTGGAGACCTGTGTTTCAAACCCTGCGTGATGCACGCAGATCTCCTGTCGGGACCTGATTTGGGGTGGCCTCAGCCCCGAGGCCACCCCTTGTGCCCTTGTCCTCACCGTCTCTCGCCGTGTGGGTCAGGGAGCCAAGCCGCGTCCGTGCTTGCTGCGGCGAGAGTTCACTAGGAGGGCAGGTTGCTGTAAGGAAACCAAGTAGTAGGTTGTTTTTTAAAAGGGGATTCAGTAGCTTCAAGATTCTAAACACCCTGATGTTCCTAAAAAGGAAGTATAACACTGAGTGAGAGGGATGGGAAGGAGTCAGCCAGGATTTTAGTTGCTTCACGTGAATTCCACCCTTTTCCCCAGTTTCCAGTGGGAGCTTATCTTCGCTTCCATCCTGACTCCCTGCCCTGGGGTCCTGTTTACAGAAGAGAAGCCACGTGCTGGGTTGGGTGGTGGGGGGGGCTCGGCCTCTCAGCAGCCCGGGCCCTGTGCGCCCTCTACCCTTCATGTCTGAGTGCGAATTCTCCGAATTCCCCGTGTAGAAGGGGCGTAGGAGGAGAAGTGTGGGAGGAGCTCATGGGGCAGGCACTCACCTGTGCGCTTCTCCCCCTCAGTATGGCTACGCCCCCAAAGGCTCTTCTGTGCTGCTCTACAGTGACAAGAAGTATAGGAGCCATCAGTTCTTCGTGGCAACAGACTGGCAGGGCGGCATCTACGCGTCCCCGACCATCGCAGGCTCCCGACCCGGAGGCATTAGCGCGGCCTGTTGGGCTGCCCTGATGCACTTCGGTGAGAGCGGCTATGTTGAGGCTACCAAACAGATCATCAAAACTACTCGCTTCCTCAAGTCAGAGTATGTGTGTTAGATTGGGCTTCTGCCTCGTCTCTTGCTTTGTCTGCTCCTAGGCTCGAGGCAGGTGCTGGGCCCAGCACCTGTGCCCCCAGCTGAGTCAGCATCCTTTAGTGGCCAGGGGTTTAGGACAGCAGCTCAGGGGTGTGGTGCTGGCCTGGGAGGAGGAGAAGCCCCCTGGCGCTGCTGGGACTTGGAGGGTCCGATCCAGGCTTCATGTGTAGGCTCTTGTGTCTCAGAGGATGTCTTCATGACTGGCCGCTCTTACCCACTGCCCAGACGCCGTGCTCCGTGAATGCTGCAGACCGTGGTTCTCACACGTGACCGTGTGTCGTCATCATTGGGAGGGCCAGTCACGACACGTTGCTGGGCCCCCCCAGGCTTCTCATTCCGTCCATTTGGAATGGGAGTCTGCAGACCAGCATTTCTGGGATGCTCCCAGTGGATACGGAAGCTGCGGGACTAGAGTCGCTGGTAGATGAGGCAGAGGGAGTGGGGGAAGGGTGGGCCGGGAAACCCAGGGCGGGGATGAAGCTAGAACGAGGTAGCACATTTGTCTGACACACCTGTTCATGTATATCCGCACCCCTCCCCCGCAATCTCTGTGGCTCACCTGCCCTGGGGAGGCTTTTTCAGAATCCGGAGGGTGAGTGAAAGCGGCCAGGAGGCATGTCTCATTTGAACAAAGCCTACGTATACGCAGCCAGTACACCCATCTGTTTGCGAACTGCTCTGCCATTTCTTGCTTTAGGGATTACATACATGACTTTTTAAATTGCAGACACGGAGGGGTTATTTTCCAGGATTATTTTCTTAAGTGTGTCTTTTATGCCTCATACGCCCCTGGGCACATCATAATTTGGGAGTTGGGCAGACAGGGTAGGAGCCAGTGACTCTGACTCATCCGAGCTCAGTGGAGTTTGGGCCTTTGAATGTTTGTAATGTTTGGGAACCACTGATCTCAGTCTTGCCACCTGATTTTAGAAGGTGAGCAAGCTGAAGCCTTAAAAGATGAGACTGTTATAGAGGAGATGTTGCATGACGAAAGAGATGATGGCCCAAGCAGTATATGTGGCTGAAATTTCCTTTCTGTTCCTTTTTTTGTTTGTTTAAGACTGGAAAACGTCAAAGGCATCTTTGTTTTTGGGAATCCCCAGTTGTCAGTCATTGCTCTGGGCTCCCGAGATTTTGACATCTACCGGCTGTTCAACCTGATGACTGCTAAGGGCTGGAACCTGAACCAGCTGCAGTTCCCGCCCAGGTAAGCCCCAGGGAGCTTCCCGCCCTCGCTGTGCTCTGTGACTTCCCAGCAGCTTGAGTAGCGGGGTCACCTGAAGCCTAGAGACTGACAGCGAGGCCAGCGCCCTGGTGCCAACGGACTATCTGTGTGATTTCACTCTCCACCTGGCATTACTCAAACTCTGGGGACCATTGGTCAGTCAGGAACCCCTTTACAGCAGACCCTACCCTCTTCCTGGGCTGTGTACTCTGCGCCCCATCTCGTAACCACCATCAGATTGTCCTTGGACGCACTCATGACCTGAGTCATACTTAGCTGAGAACCTTCCACAGGCTTCTCATCATTCAGGCCCACTGCCCTGTCCTGTAATATGCTTCTGTCATCTCATCCCGCATGGTGCCTGTAAATAAACACCGCTCCCCGAGGGCACAACCCCCCACTGCCAGGCGTCGTCGGTGCACCCTGATCCTTTCACCTGGTGGCGCCCTTGCCAGTCCCACCTGGACTCAGCTTCTTCCTCTTCATGATCCCTCTGGGCCTCAGTCTCCCTCCAGGGGGTGTGAGCATTTCTTTTGTGCTTTGAAGTCCTTCAAGACCCCTGTGGCCCTGAGCGTGTGGGGGGTTATCATCTGCGAGGAGCGCATCCCCTTGGTGGCCCCGTGGCTCAAGGCATAGCAGTTGGCAGTTTCTGAGGGGAGAGGTGGGACAGAACAGGCAGCTTGTACTCCCTTTTGTTGGGATGTTGCTGCTCACGTGGAGGCGTGACACCCTTGTGCCGGCCCAGGCTTGACAGCCCGTGTATTTGAGAGCCCCGAGTCCCAGGACTGGGAACACTTGTCACAAATAACATGAAGAAGCGAGTGATAAATTCCAGTCTGTGGGGCTGCTTTATTTTAGAACTTGGTTTTCTTTCCTCAAGGTTCATCTCCGCCTGTCTCTCTCTTCTCCCACAGTATTCATTTCTGCATCACGCTAGTACACACCCGGAAGCGCGTAGCCGTACAGTTCCTAAGGGACATCCGGGAGTCTGTCACTCAAATCATGAAGAATCCTAAAGCAAAGACCACAGGAATGGTAGGGACGCTGGAGACTTTTATCTTCCTATGGAAGTTTAGGTGTCGTGGGGGGTTTGGAAGAACCAGGTGACCTCAAGTCTCTTCCTGCCTCTGTTCTATCTCTGCAAACCTTATTCCTTGGAGCTCATGACCTCTGCCTCACCTGTTTCCAGGCTCTTTGTTCTCAAGTGAGGCGTGCTGTAGATAACGCACCTTATATATTTGAACGTGTCCTACAGAGGCAGGTGGTGGTCGTGTCCCTTTGAATGGAAAATTTTGACACAGGAAAGACAATAAGCGTGTTTTCTCTGGAATTTTCTTTGGCAAATCCCATGGGTCAGTTCCTTTGGGCAGAAAGGCAGACCAGCAAGTACCTGTGAAGAGCTGCCTGGGTGGGCATGGAGCCAGAGTGGGGAGTGGACGTGGAAGGCGGGGACTGCAGGGTGGGGGGGTGGTATTGGAGCCGCAGCTTCGTCTCTACCCCCATACGCCATCGCCACTAACACTCTGACTGGATTTGTAGGGTGCGATCTACGGCATGGCCCAGACGACCGTTGACAGGAACCTGGTCGCAGAATTGTCCTCAGTCTTCTTGGACAGCCTTTTCAGCACTGACACTGTAACTCAGAGCAGCCAGATGAATGGTTCTCCGAAGCCGCGCTGAGCCTGGACCCTCTGGCCCCGAGGGGCTCCTGGCCTCCAGACAGTGCTCGGGGTGTGGAACGGGCCGTGCACAGGGTCAGCATCTGGTCTTGCTCCATGGAGCACGACGAGACAGACCGTGAGACAGCTTGATCCTCGGGATTTTTGTTCCTCCTCTCGTCCTCCTCCTGTGGTCTTTATGTGGAGACCCTGAAGGAGTCTATTACATAATTATTTTGCCCTTGTTCTCAGATGTTGCCCTAGGAATCGTTTTAGCTATTTCCCTCTCTAACCTTCTAGCTTTCAACCTCACTTAATCATTGTGCAGCGGCTCTGACCTGAGTCCTTACAGAGGCTGGGGTGGTTTACGTGATGAAGAAGCTTCTCTGTTCTCTCAGGCAGACTGGCGAGGCAGATCGGAAGATGTTTTCCCGGGTGGGAGTTAGGTGCCCCTCTAAGCGTGAGGCCTTCTCCGCCTCCTCTCTGGGTAGGAGTTGTCTGTCTCGGAGAGTCACTGGTAGTGCGGCTCAGTTTCTTTTCCCAGGACACAGATGGATAGGCCACAGCTTCTGTTTTGTGGGATTAGAGTGGCCGAGCTTATCTGCTCAGTCTGTCAAGGCAGGCTGTGGAGTGGCCCTCTGCTGTCCCCATTTGATACTTGGTGGCCCCTTCTGTGGAGATTTGTGCTTGAAATTGGGCTCCCATTGGTTTGTTGTTGCTGCCCTGGATTAGGAAGAGATCGCGGTTTCCAGAGAGCCCAGGCCTTTCTGGCCCTGGCGCTGCCTGTCTGCACGGGCAGTGTTCAGAGTACACCTGGACCCTCTCCTGGGCTGCTAAGGATTGGAAACCAGAGCCTTTTCTCAGGTTCTCTGTCACATTCAAATACATGTCCCAGAGTTGGTGGTGGTCCTCCCCTCCCCCGCTGCTATAAGCCCTCTCGTCTGCGAGTTATGTTTGCTTGAAGGAATAGCTCAGAGCACCTTCACAAGTTACCTTGACCTACCCTAGATGGGTACAAGGGGGCATGAGAGAGCCTCCAAGGCAAGGAAATTTCTCCCCATTCATGTATCCCTCCTCCCTTTTTCTGTCTCTTTGGCTCCCCAGGTACTATGGCAGTTTAGCCTCAGGTACTGGATACTTCTCAGCCCTGGCTAACTCTGGACTAGGGAAGCATGATGGCAACTGTCAGTTGGGGCCTGGGGCCTGGGATTCCTTCCTAAGACTAGTTGCTCAGGGTGGTGCAGGGACAGAACCAAACCCTGCGCCCACTCCCTGCCCTCTTCACCCCTACACAGGGCCCTGACCTAGGTGGAGCCACAGTCTTCCTCTGAAGACGACCTACCGTGTGCCTTTTTCCTCAGCACTGAGCGGCGAGGGGCTACTCCTGACCCAGGCCGTAGGGTAAATGGGTCAGTCTTCGAGCTTTTATTTGGGTGGGGGAGGACTTTAGAATAAAGTCAGGAGAAAATGTCCTCTGTTCATTCCCCTTCTCAGGGACCCCTGAACCATTCAGCTTCTGCAGGCTGCTGTCCTCCGGCCGCCCTCACTGGGAATGCTGGCCGGGAGAGCCAGGACGACCAGGCCTTCCCCAGGGCTCCATAGCACATGTGTCTGAAGTGGCCTTTGGCATTGTGCTTCCGCCACAATAACTGTGACTAGCTGGCTGTGTCATTGCCGGGCTGGAGTGTGTGTGTTCCTCCTGTGCCTTGTGGGTTCCAGGAGTGGGGGTGGGTGGGGTGTGTGTGTGTGTGTGTGTGTGTGTCTGCGCATGCTCATTAGAGGGAGATGCTAAGATCTTTTGGACACGGTAGCCAAGTTCCTTCCCGTCGCTGAACTGAGGGGCACCTCCTGAGAGTTGCCGTGGCCAGAGCTGTGCACCAGTGCTCCTGGGTCTCTGGTGCGTTCACGGTGTCGGAGGAGGACCCGGGACCCAGAACCACCCTGGCACCACTCTGGTTTGTCGGCAGCGAAAATGGAGAAGCCTGTGCCGGATAGAGCAATGGGCGTGCTGTTGCTTCCGGTGTCTGCGGGCCCTTCCTCTGCTGTGATGGCACTGCTGCCCCGGAGGCAGTGGTGTTTTTTCAAAGGGACCTACAGTAGCCACTTTATATCACGAGCCTTAGTTTGACACTTGCGGGCTTTCCATTCTATGCATACCTGCGCCCTAGAGCACCTAGTCTGGCAGAGGCAGGCAGAATGTCTTCAGATGTCATGTTGCTAGCAGATGTCTCATTGGCCTCTGCAGAAAGGGTAGTGTCTGGGTTACACACGGAGGGAGCAGCCGCCAGACTATATACTGCCATGTCACTTTTAATATTACTGGTTTTATACTTGCAAAATGGTACTTGCCTCTTTTAAATCTTTTCTGTATTTAACCTCCTTCCCAGCTCAGTGCTCCCTTCCTGATTGCAGCAATAATATCTTAAAGAGCAATTCAGTAATTAAATGACTGAAATTGTTGCCCATGTGGTTGCATTCATTTGCTTCTCTGGAGGGGCAGGCGGGAGATCCCTGGTGGGGTGGTGGCCGAGGGAGACCTGGCTGCTGGTGGGAGCTCGCCCCCTTGTGGTGAAATGGTTGTGTGTGGCCACACAGATTCAGGGTGGTGGCTTTACCAGGAAGGTCTGGAACTCAGGCCTTTAGTTCCCCAGGGCCCGGGTCCGCCTTGTGTTTTCTGTCCTCTTCACCACCATCTTCTGCCTATACCTTAATGATGGCTGGAGCCTCCGGGGTGGGCTCCAGCCAGCTGGGCACTGGCTTCAAGCCCTGCATTTGGTTTGGGAGCTGATGGAACCCCTCAGAATACCTCTGCACATGTAACCGCTGGGCGTCTTGTTCCATGACAAGTAGGAAGTGAGTATTCCTTCCACAGGTCCTGGAGCCTGTCAGTCGGTAACCAGTGCTTCAGCCCATTGGGACTTTGTCAGAATCAAGCCAAGGAATGCCTGTCTTTGCTAGTTTTCTGCTAAATGACTTGGTTTCTTGAGCACCTGCTTGCTTTGGGGTTAATCCTAGAGGATGAGGCCTGCCCTCCCCGCCCCCCCCACCAATCCAAGAATTGGTGTTTGGATGCTTATACCTGCTACTTAGCGCTGTGAACCCCTTTGCCTTCTCTGAGGGTTCTTGGTAGCAGTGAGCCGCCTGTAGCCAGACCCAGCAGTGGAGACGCCATTACGTCTCCTCAGAGGCCTGACTTGACGGCTGCCAGCTACAGCCCGGGTCCGAGCCTTTTCTCAAGTTGGGAGTCTTAATTGGTATTCTTTTTCTTGGGCTTTTTTTTTTTTCATAATCTCTCCTTAACATCTTCCCCTGTAACTTCAGTTATTTGCACGAATTGTAGAATAAACATTTGTTTTTGAAAAAGTATCGTTTATGTTTTTGTCCCATAGCAAAGTCTGTCACAGAACTGTAGTGTCTTCTAGGTTGGCATCTTTCAGCTCCTGATCCCTCGGTGAGCAGAGGCAGGAAGGTGACATAACACCTGCTCCATACCTCTGTGTCTGGTGGCTTCTGTCCCCTAAGCCACAGTCATTAGATCGAAGCACACTTAGGAAAAGGGAAGTTAGAAGTGGAGCAGATGGGGGCCACCATCAGAATAAGTTTTCTGAGAACCCACCGCTGACGTAGGTGTTGTCAATCCTCAGATCCTGCCGGTACCTCTCACAACAACATGCTTCTTTCTCAGACATCGACCTCTGCCTCTTTTCTGGCCCCGGTTATGGGACCAACTCATCCTGGGTTGTGATATTGCTAAATGTCTGCTCCAGGGAACCCTGGCATTTGCAAGTCAGCTTAGAATGCAGAAGCTGCCTGCTTCCGGCTAGGGGATCGCAGATGAGAACCCGTCAGGAGAAGGGCCTCCCGCAGTCCTGCGTCATGGCACACGTGGACTGCTATGTGCATCGCGTGCACTGGGGGGAGAGGAGACCGAGCTCTGTGCCTCACCCCCTCTCCCAGTCACAGCGCATTAGTGGGAACAGTATCCTAGAGTCACTAGGTGGGAGGACTTATCTGTAGGAATCCAGTCCCTAACTGCTTGGATGGAAAGTAGCCCAGCGCCTCCTAAGCTAGAATTTCCGCCCTCTCCCTCACACAGTAAAAGCAAGCCTTGAAACGGGCTACATCTCTAAGAAACTGCAAGACCCTACCAGGATTAGCAGTCTCCCCGCCCTGGGACGCCGTAGGCCGGGATGCGACAACAGCTGCAGACCGCCTTCCTCGTCCCAGATGCCACCACGCGCAAGTACAGGTGTCCTGCATACCTTTACGTGTTAGTCATGGTACCCCTTTGGCCACCCCTGCCTCAAGAATCCCTTTCAGGTTTTCAAGGCCCAAGTCAGTGAAGCCTTCAGACTCACCCTTGTCAATCACTTCATGTTCCCTTAACTCATTTCTTTACCCTTGCCTCTAGCATTGACTTCATCCATCCTGCCTCGTGGTAGTGACCTGCTTCCTGCTTAATTCGGCTACATGAAGACAGAATGGTCTGGTCCCCTGACCTCGGGGCCTTGAACAGGGCTTCCCACAGAGTGCTTATTTAAATGCCTGTTGACTCCAATTTGGATTGACCTGTGGAAAGGAAGTTTCTAGAGCCTGAGACCGAGTGAAACACCAGTTTTATTTAAGACGTAAAAGCACAGGTGTTTGTGTTACATACGATAAGGTTGACTTTAGGGTCCTGGTTTCTGAGATTAAGACTTGGTACCTCTTTGTCACAGCTTTCTGGGAAATGAATTAGAAAGGGAGCAGGACGCAGCCTGGCAAAAAGACCAATACTGTTGGCGGGAAGTCTTCCAGAGAGAGAAGATCGGACTCAATTAGTGTACATGTAACAGAGCGCCAAGGATGAAGAGGGGTTTGGGGAAAGGTCGGCGTTGATGCCGGCATCTCCGTCCACAGCAAGGACTCCCCCCTAGCTGGTGGCAGCAGAGTCCACTTGGCCCTTCTAGCTGCAGCAACATCTTGGCTCCCCGGATCCGCCCCCCCCGCCCGCCACCAGATTCCTAATTCAGTCACCCCCTTCCCCTGAAGAATTCGCAGAGGAAGGGCAGGGCCTAGGTCATGGACACTGCTACTTGTTCGATGAAGCTGGCCAGGTTTATGTCCCGTTCCGAAAGGCCGGCACACTCATGGGTGCTCAAGGTGATGTGGACCTGGAACAAAACCAGAGGTTCAGGCCCAGAGCGGGAGAGAGTCAGGGCCGTGTGGCTCGGCAACACGGAGCACTCCAGGGTGGTAGCTGGTCACCATGCTCTCGCCCGGGGACAGCATTCCTATCTCCAACACTGCCAACCCTCCCGCCGTGGCCCGTGGCAGGGGTCGCATGACCGCCCTCCAACGGCCTGCGGTCCGACCTGTCTGCTGTGCACATGTGTTCTCAGCTCTGGTGACTACTTTTTCATCCCTCCACACCACACCTCCAGGAGGATTTGGGCCACAGAGCTATGAGCCATGAATATGGCCAGTGCCCGCGGCCTGGCCTTCTGTGGTTCGGCTTTCCTAATGCCGACTGTCCGCCTTAACCGCATGTTTGCTCACGAGTGTTTTAATTTGCACTTTTCTAGTTTGTAGCGAGCCTGACTGCCGCAGGGGTGACGGTGCTGATTCTAGGTGGGGAGGCCCCTAGGGAAGGCCAGGGAAGGGCCTTCAGAGCTCAGCCGGCCCGGCGCAGCAGGCACGCCTCGCTCACCTTGTTGTACACGTTAAACCATTCAGGGTGGTGGTCCAGTTTCTCGGCCTGCAGGGCCACCCTCGTCATGAAGCCAAAAGCCTGCGAAGTGAAGTGAGACCCAGGTGAGCGCTCTGAGAGAGAGGGCTGCTCGAAGAGTTCCAGATGTGGGGACCCCAAGACCCATCCCTCCCACTCCCGTCCCCAAGGAGGACACTCCAGCCCGACGAGGGTAGTGGCTGAGGGGCTTAGGTGGCAAGGCCTTCAAGGGAGAGAACAAGTTCTGGAGTGTCAGAAACTGTCCCACCCGGCGGCATACCCGATTGAAGTCTTTGAAATGGAACTGCTTGAAGATGGCGTCTCGGCCTTCCAGCTCATTCCACCCCACAGCCCTCAGGTTTGGCAGTAGCTGGTCCCGCTCCTCGGCACTCAGCCTGTGCGCTTTGCCGGCCTAAGACAGGAAATCAGCAGAGGCCCATGGGCATTTCTCCCTCTAGGACCCAGGAGAGGGCCCCAGTCATGAGGGGACATTGGCCGCCCTCCACGGGGGCTCTGGTGGCGTGGTCTAAAGCAATGGACAGGGAGCCATTCAGGGGGACACCCTGCCCTGGGGATGGGGCCCTGGCTCACGCACTGATAGGTTCTTAGATTCTGACACTTTGCTCAGAGAACAGAAAATACTGAGCCGTGACGCAAGTCACTGGGACTTAGCAACACTCCCCCCACCTTGTCCCCAAAGCCTGACAGAGCCCCCCCACCATAGGTCTCTTATGTTAATGAGGGAGTAAAAGCAAAATCAAACCCAGATGCGAATGTGTTACTACACAACTTTTCAGAAAAAGACTACCCATGACTGTTCAATCTTCTTTTTTCTGTTACGGACTGTATCCAGTTCACCCCCACACCCGCACAAAGAAACTGAGGCCTAGAAAGGGAACATGACCATGGTTCTCCTCCCCTCATGTCCCCCTCCGTCCTCAGAGCACAGACATTGTTCTCAAAGGGTTCTGAATCTGCATCCTGGGCCCAGGGAAAAGGAGCAAGTGCTTACAACACCTTCCAGGCGATTCTACCAGAACTGATCCCCACTGGTACTACCTCCCACTGGGTATTCATCACGCCACCACGCAGCCCTTGAGTACCACCTGCTAGGCCTGGGGGTTTCGGATTCCCACCTTCTTGTCTACTCCATCAGCCTGGGAAGCCTGAGCCACAGAGCTCAGGCCAAAGTGGAAGTAACTTGGCCAAGGGCAACTGGCAAACCTAGCCCCTCGGCCTATTTGCCTATTGTGCAAAGTGCCCTCCAGGCAGCCAGAGCTGGCACAGTTCAGGGGTTGAGTGGAAACTTCAGAGACGGAAGCAAAGGCCGGTTCCATTCTCTGGGGGGATGGATCCAGGCCTAGGCACGGAAGGGATCCCAGAACTGTGATTTCTCCAACAGAAACTGTAAGAGTGTTGAAGGAAAAATGAACCAGTAAGGTCTGGGGAGAGAATGTGAGGGAGGCTAATTCAGCTTCACGAGGCAGCCCACAGCCTGGCAGCCATGGGGGCATTGGCAGGACTGGGTCAAGCCCCAGTTCTGGCGTTGTCCAGCAGGATGGTCACCTCCCTTGGCTTGAAAGGTAAAAGGGGCCTAGAACTTCCATTTCAGATCAGTGAGAGGAGCCTATGGGACCTATGAGTAAGTCCATCCTTATTAAGGGCCTGCCATCTGCATTTGTAAAGGGCTTGTTAGGTCCTGCACGTGTGGGGTCGGGTGTGGGGATCACACTAGAAAAGCAGTACAGTCTCCTCTAAGTCAATCTTTCCCTCCCTTCTGAAACACTTGTTTTCTCTGGACTGATCTAGCTTGGTCCGGTTCCTCAGCTCTGAGAGCTCTGCATCCCGCCCCCAAACCCTGCTCCATTCCAGAGCTGGCCCTTTCTCTGGGGCTGATAAGCCTGGTCATGTATCCAGGCAACTGGATGAATGATGTCAGCCCAGGGATCAGAACCCACTGCTTCACTCTCTGGCCCAGAAAGAAGTAGGGGGATACAGGGAGCTCCTAGGAGGCACCCCGTGCCCCTTAGTGTCTTCTGGGATCCCCCAAGTTTCACAGCCTGGGGCTGAAAGGACAAGCCCCCCTGAGAGCTGGGGTCAGACGGGGGCAGGGGCACTGTTTGCTTAGTAAATCACAAGCCAGGCCTGGCCGAGCCTTCTGGGGGAGTGTATGCTCCTGTTACTGATTACTAGCCCTGCCTCCCCATGTCTGGGGCCTCAGAGCACCACACAAGCCGCCTCACTACCCCCTCCTCTCCCTCCAAGCCACTGCTTTCCAAGTGCCTTCTCAGCTGTCACCGTAGTCCCTACTGCTCCTCAGGCTTTGGGATCAGAAAGGGGCTGTTTAGTAAAGCTCCTGGGTCTACACACTTCTCCCCAGCCAGGGCTCCCCTTCACTGCCAGAGGGTGGAGGTGATGAAGCAGGGCTGACCACAGAGCCCAGGCCCTCCTGGGGGAACACCCAGCCTGGAGGAGGTCTGATCCTGAGCAATCGGTCCCCACTGCTGGGCGCAGGCCTCAAGCGAGGCACCAGGGCCTGGCTACGAGGCCAAGGTGGCAGCGCCGGGTGCGCGAGGGCCTGGCCAGACCCTGCCGGAAGTGCAAGCCAGAAGGGTGGTAAACAGACTCCTAGCCTCCCTCCTACTCACGCTCTGACA